AGGAAGGAAATCAGCGGATATGAATATTCATAAGTTTAAATTCACTCCACGTGTCACAACTCAAAGCGACGTTATTTACATTGCGCTGCATGGTCCCTCCCCTCCATTCCCTCTTTCCCTTCCCCCGCCTAAACTATTTAATCGCTAATTTAATTCCATAAATAATAACAAACGACGCAGCAACGTCAACGGAGGAAACAAAATTGAGCACGTTGGCGGCACGAATTGCATTTGCATACGAGCAGAGTAGCCGCTATGATGGAAGGGTGGAAGGGAGAAATACACTCGTCCCATTTCCATCTCTTTTTTTAAGGCCACCGTGTCATAACCGTACCGCAAAAATTTACTTCATCCACGCTTGCGTATACTTCCTCCCCTGTCCGTGAAGATTATTAGGATGCATAATAAATAAGTTTAAACTGATTAAAAAAATTATCTTTTTTTAGAATCTTGAATTATACAGCACAAAGAATACACGAAGCGTTTAGCTACAATTTAAAATATCGTCAATATTGAAATAGCGATTCTTCTTTTGATTGAAAATAAAAATGAATCGACAAATCTTCCCTGTACAATACAAATGTGAAACAATCTCAATCTTCTTCGACTTTTAATCGTCAATCGATGAAAGAAGAATTTTCTTCTCTACGAGTAAAAATCTATCGATCTATAATTACATGATTCTTTTCATAATTCTTATCTCTCCATACCTTTTTTTATCCTGCCATCGATAAACAATTTATTCCAAACGGATTATAAAGATCGGTAAACGTTTCCCGTGTGGATAATGAGAGGTTCGTGGCGAAAACGGAGAGAGAAATTCAAAAGATTAGCCGACAACGATAACCACGCGCGATGCAACGCAACGATAACAATCGAAGAAGAGCCGGTCGAGTCCCTCTCGAAACATTGTCGGGGGAACGATGCCACCGCTACGATTCTCGGGTATCCCATTCATCACGGTGCCTATTCTTAATGTATGCACGGCCAATATCTTGAACAACAGGGCTTTAACGAGACCAGCCGGATTTTATGCACGAGGACTCTCCAGACGTCGCGTTCCCCGTGGCCCTGCCATTGTTGTTGCGCTTTCCAACAGGGGATGAGGGGAGGGGAGGTATATTTCCTCCCTTCTCCCCTCGGTGCAAACCTCGCGACAAAACGCCGCGCAAGTATTTGGGATTTGGGTCACGCGCCTTGTCTCCAACATGGTATGAAAGAGAGAGTAGTAGTATGATGCCACGTACAATGGCCCCGTGATCCATTGACGAATCTTTCCCCATCCCCCTGTTCGAAGATAACCGAGACCCAACCTCGGTCATGTACCAACAATTCATTCAGAGTTCTCTGTTTTATTTAACCCTCCCTCCTCTTCTCCAGAACTTCCTTTCCTCGAGAATTAGCTCGAGAATGGGAGGAGCACGGGATAGAGAGATTCAAAGTTGTCGATGGTAAAATTTGTTCGATAGGTTTAATTATTCGTGGCAAGTAAATGGGCAATATATGGGCGAGGAATTTTCGAATATTCTAGGAGACTGTACGATACCGAGCCACACCACTTTTCATCAATTACTGTTCACATCGAAAGGGTTAATAGTCACTCA